ATATTGTGCAAAAAAACCAAACCTGTGTAACTGTTCTTTTTGACAGCATTGGCTTTGAGTCATGTTCAGAGTCATGCTCTGGTCTGGAACCTTATTGCTGTTTTGAGTGTCTTAGCAACTCAGTAAAAAATTACTGAAGTATTTCTGTCATTTAAACTTAATATTAACTCTTAATAGTTTCTGGGAAAGACTGAGGTTTTGAATCGAAATTTAAGCTTTCTGAAAATGTTGTGCTTTCATTTATTCTCACAAGAAAAGAAATATGTTTTGTGCTCTCGAATCTTGTGTTATAACTCCAAGATACATTTTAAGCAACTGAAGCAAGGAAATTTGTTGCAGATTAAATTTATTTTCTCCTTTTTTCAAAATAAAAAAGTTTCTTTTAGCTTAATTGTCTTGTAAAAACACATGCTTAAAGCAAGGATGAAAGTGTCCTCTTAAATCATCATGTTTTAAGATGATAATTCCTTGGAAAAGCATACTTAAGACTACTTGTAAGTTCAGGCTTCTGTTTGTGGGCAGCATGGTTGTTATTCAACAAGAAAACAGTAAAGGCGGAGAGTTTGCCTTGGGTATAGGCCGAAAAACACATACCATTTGTATTTGCAAGGTAGGTAAGTACTATCAAAGTATATCATATGACAGTGCAAAATCAATTGCATTTTCAATGCAGGGGACTTGAATGAGATCCCTATCAATATTTTTAAGAACTGCTAACATGTGAAGGCTGTTTGTATAATTAGTAACCATGTTGTATCATCACAGCCCACTATGTGATGTGATGTTGAGGAAATAGAATCTTTTTTCTTGAGAAAATATCCCATACTAGCACTGCCAGAAGACAACTGGGCAAACCCAAAACGACCCATGTGAAGGAGAATAGAAATGGTGCATTTGAAGCTATGTAGCTGGAGAGTTCTCTAGTTAATGTGAAGTAGGTATGGGAAGGGGAGAAACACAGATACTAAATAAAAATGTTTGATTCAAATATAACAAAACAGGTCTGAGTATTAAGGGGATTTGCACAACAAAATTTCATGGGTGAAAATGATTCAGAGATTGCTGGAAGAGTGTCATTAAGCTGTGCTGCTGGAGTGAGCACTTCAAGGGAGAGGTAAGGGCAGAAAATAGATTTTTAGTTATATTAATTAATTTAGATGTTCTTGGCCAGAAATCTATAACACACTCGAGATGCTGGAGATACACTGCTTTTAGGGCAGTTCTGTGGTGTTGCATATGGAAAAAGCATACTAACAGAGAAGATGATAGGCAAATAATAGAAATATGAACTTTGGCATTAGTAGGTATGGGAGAATATGGTAAGTTTTGAATCATCTGTTTTAGAAGATTTTGTACTTTCAAAATCTCTACAGCTGCCAGTGTTCTTCCATATCAGCTACAGAGATGTGGTGATGTTACTATTTTTATGAAATATGTGATTCAGTGATGCATAATGAATCAGTGGCAAAGCTGGGTTTGTACTTTGGAGTTCTGTAACCTGTTCTGAATTGCCTGTAGAAGATTTGAGGATAGCGATCTGTCATTATTTCCACACGTACAGACAGTGATTCTCAGGCCGTCCACTGAAACTGTGGGTATTGGAAGGTGTTACGGTCATGCCTTTGCACTGGCATAAGTCACACTTGCAGGTGCAGCATACATCACTGAGGGTTATACCCTATAGTTAGTAAAGGACTGGAATATCTCGTATTTAAAACTGAAGAACTTATTTAATGTGTTTATGATGTTTCATGTACTAAAGAATTACTGAAAGTAGTGCTCTTTAGGAAACTTGAAAAACAAACAACAACAACAACAAAATCACTTAGATTCCTGGTTTTGTTTTTCTTTCAGACAAGAATAATGCTAGTAATCAGCACTTTCACTTGTTTAGCTGGTATGGACATGGTGGCCACCTACAAGTCATAGAAATCCAGAAAGAAGACTATAAATTCCTCTAGCAAAAGTTACATAATAAGGCTTTAGATATTTATATATCGTAAGGTAGAATTTGAAAGTAAATTAACAAAAGACAAGGCTGAAGCAGGATGAAGGACAAGTGAAATCATTTCCATTTAATAGAGCATATATTTTTAACTCTAGCTTTCTCTAGAACTCTATTAGTATAAATCTATTTCCAGATTCTCTTTTATCCTGATAGTAGAGTTGCAGGAGCAAAATTCGTAGTCCCACTTAGTTTTCATTTCATTTCATCTATCATGTCATATGGCTAAGTACTGCAGCCTTGCAACTTATCTGTAATAAATGTAAGGATTTCTAGGGAAAGCAAAAACCACAATGTATCTTACAGGCAGTTTCCATAAAGAAACTTCATTATTTGTCTTGGTATCTATTATTAAGGTGAAATACATGGAAAGTATATGAAAATAATACATATTTTCAGGGATTTTTAAAAATTCTTACACAAAAACATGGCAGCATAACTTATTGCTTTTGCAGTTAAACACCTGAAAGTTAAATACGGTGTTCTGGTTATAATCTTAGATCTCTTTGTGTAAAGCCCGTTTGAGTAGTAGGTTGGAATAAACAGATAGTGAAGAAGTGTGTTGGAGAAATACACTTTTGGTAAATGAGAATAGGATTCAGATATGAGGTAGGAATGTGGCTGCTTACCTAAAGTGAAACAAATGATAACTGACATTCTTTTAACCACTTCAAAAGGTAGTATGAGAATGAGATTGCTCTAGAGTTGCCGAAAGATACTACAAACAGGATGAGTTTAGAGTCTTACATTTAAATAAAAGAATAGTTAGAAGTGTCCTGGAGGAGCTAGTTAAGGAAAAAGGTTAGAGGAATTGATCTCCCTGCAGTTACGTGTACACAAACTCTTTCTTAATTGATGTTTGTAAGCAGATGGTCTTGGTGCGTCTCATCACTAGTTTTTCATTATATCTTACCCTAATATTCAAAGTGTTGTTTTACGTAACAATAGAAGGCATAAAAAGCAAACTAGGGAAATTAAATGTTCTGTGTTTTTGAGGAAGACCCTAGTGTCAATCAGTAAAAAGTTACCAATGATTTTCCAACTCTTATCAACAATCCAGAAAGTGCCTAATGCTAAGGCAGCTCCTTAGAGTGCCAAAGAATGTAGCTTAAGATTTGCTAAGAGCCACATTTAGACTACTTGTATAGTTAAAAGCTGTTAAATGCAATCTGCAAAAAGTCTACACAAAGAAGGGAGAGCAGGGAGTTCCTCTCAGTCCCGGTGGGAAGCCTGAAACTATTTGCTGGTTCTCCTATATGTGTGCTTGTTGAATTAGCAGTAAGTTTGTTTTTCTTGAAAAGCTAATGAACTGCAAATAATTGAAGGGCAAAAACTATCTGACACACTCACATCTTTCTGTCTGTCGATCAAGAGTTTGAGCTGCATGGTCAGTAACATGAGGAAAACAAAGAAACTAATTAATCTTTTCTTCATGTAACTGCACAGGCCTCAGTTTTCTATTGTCATGCTAGTAATTGCTGTCCACAGGACTGTCCAAGGGGGAAAAAAAATGGATGAGAGATGAAATCCTGAAGAAAATACGTGGAAGATCATTTCTAAAAGCTCAACTGTGGGTGGAAAAATATGGCTTTGTTCATTCTTGTTTAGACTGCTGTGCAGTTGAAAGCTTCTCCCTCTTGCCTTTGAATTCCGAGGAACGGTGGCTCAGTCATTCTCAAAGCTATGGCTTCTTGAAGTAGCCTTCAAGCCTAGTATTCCTGATCTCAGATCAGTCATTCTTTTAAAGATACATTTTCCTGAAATTACTTCTACTCAAGATTGACAATTTTGATACTGCAGTATTTTGACCAAAGTACCCTGGAGGTATACTGTGCTCTTCTGTATTTTTTATGGCCAACGTGCAGATTTGACCAAACTTACTGAGTCTGTGATAACTGGCTAAACCCAAAAGCATTATCTATAAGCTACTTTCACATATTACTTCAAACAGCTTGCCTGTACACTGTTTAGTTTTCAGTGCTCTTACTGTATGGTAAATCCAGAACCAAACGCACAAGTTGTAAAGCAAATGTATTTAAAACAAAAAGTCCAAGCCTGCAAACCAAGAAAATAAACACATCTAGGCACTCATACAGAATACCTTCTGTGAAAGAAACATCTGTTTTTTTCTCTAACATTTCTTGTTTGTTTGTTTGTTTGTTTGTTTTAAGAAAACTGAGATACAAAGATATCCTTTTTATACCAGATTTTTTCACCAAATCTCTTGGACTGTGAAGTAAGTTTTAATGCTTATTTGTTCACTACTTGCTGGGTAATTTACATTTTAGAAGCAAGCCAACGAGTGCACATAGTTCACGTTCAGAGACTTTTTCGCTGGTATTTCTTCTGGCTTCTGAGGGAAATACTGAAGTGTAGATGTCAGTTGTGCCAATGCACACATACACTCCCTTTCCACACTGTTTCCCATGACTCTAAAAATAAAGTTCAAAGCTCTCTAGTTGTTTTTTAAAAAAAGTCTTACATGACATAAAAGCATTTGGTTCTTTCCTCTTCTCTGTTTCTTTTATAAATAACATTTTTTGCTACACTAAGAGGGTTCCAAGTATACTTTGTGAAATTGAAGTAAGTAAAGCATGATTTTATTTATAAAAGCTTTGGAGTTGGCAAACTTAATGTTATATGCCATCAGTGCTTTCAAGTGTGTTTATCAATACTTCTTATAGTTCTTAAACACCGAAGATTGTTACATATGAAGTTCTGCTGCTTTGGAAAATTAAAACCAAGCTCTGTCCTTTAAGATAACCCCGGTGTATTCAGTAAAGAATGAGGTTTTATGCATAAAACTTGGCTTCAAAGCTTAGCATTCCTGTGCATGAGCAGTGGAGCTCTTAGACATTATTAACCCAGAGTTCTATCCAATTATTTTCAGGGTCGACATTTACTGTTTGCGTGTCTTGACACTTCGACACAGACTACACAGCCTTTTTCTGATATTTGCAACTTTTTAAACGTTAAGTAAAATAGAAGTCTTTACCTTTGAATCCAGTGCTGATGGCACACGTTATCCTTTAGAAAGGAACTCTGGAGGCTAAGCTTGAGTATAATGAGACAAATATTGTTTTGAGTATTTTCCCAAGTACTATGTCTTGAGTGGCATTCCAGTAAGTCTTTTCAGCACGCTTTCTGCTCCTAGTCCTTAAATAATTGTCCAAGGGTTCATCTTCAAGTGCAGCAGTGCGAGAGAGAAGCTGACTTCTGCAACTGCAGTAGACAGGCAAATTGATTACTTTCTACGTGGGGAATCTGGTTCTGCCTGTTTGCAACCCAGCCTTGCTGCGAGGCGGATCACTCTCATGGAGTTGGCCAATAGTAGGAAGTGTCTGAGACCAGCTCCCTAGGTAGAGACCTTGTCAGCTGCAAACATAGCACTGCCTGCCTCTGAAGCACAAGTGTAAGCGCAGTAATTGCTTTCTTCTACGCTGAAGTGAGAAGGAAAAAGAAAGTGAGAGTATGTTGCGGATCTATTCATATGCTTACTTGAAAGGAAAAAACATGCATCGTTAATGCACAATGTGACGGTCAGTGTCTTAAACGTATTTGAACAATATGTTTATTCCTTAAGTTTGATCTACAGACTGAAGTGGGACAGGGAGTAAAACAGCAGGAAATGTATGACCTGTATTAAATGAATTCTTGGGGAGCACGAGGTGGAGACTGCTATTTGGATATTTCACTTAGCCAGGTACAGAACTTCAATTCCAATTTTTGAATACATTGGTATTATAACAGGATTTCTGTACTGGAAACAGAAGGTAACTGTCCAAAAAAGCAAACTGTATGCCATTCAAAGTAGTAAAGGTCAAAAATCAGCAGATACTGCATGTTATAGGGCATTACTGTCAAACTGAGGTGTGCAGTTTACAAAGATTACATTCTGCGTCATCTGTGATTTGTAGAATGTACAGTCCAGAGAAACAGTAAATACTATAGTTATTTAATCTTGAGGTTGAAAAGGCTGTGGCAACAAAGTATGTACTCAGAAATATTTTCTTAAATCAGATCGAGATAGGGATTGACAGCACTGCTGAGGAATGCTTTTTGAGACTAGGAAAAGTGCAATAGGATTTTTAAACTGTGGCAAAGTTAAGGTAAATGGAGGGGAAAAGAAAAAGAAGGCAGAGATAACTGTTTCCAGTCTTTTGATTTCTCCCTATAACTTTCTTGAATTCTATTTCAGTTTTCCTCTAGTTTAGTTTCAGGCACATTTAATAACCAAATACTGGGACAATGTTGCTTGTTGTAGCTGTTTGTTAAGAAACAGTGCCAGAGTTACATAAACACGTTGAAAAGTCATTGGTTCTGTATATAACATAAGGAAGCGTGAAGTATTGTCTGCACTAAACCACAGAGAGTACAAGGCACTGTAGAATTAATATTTTTGTCAAGAAGTGGGAATGGATTATCAAATCAAGTGTTAACATACTGGGGAACTCTGTGCTCTTTCTAGCGCTGCAGGCAAGTTAGCAAAGTTTTGATCGTAGGTAGGATATAGGAGTTTTTATCCCCAAGCTGATGGTAAATGTATAAACTTTTTTGACTGCACGTGGTTTTTAAGACTAATGAAGATCAAAAGAGAATTGAGCTGTCAGGATGTTTAAGAAGCTGTCTTTCCGTGGTCTCCTTCATACACACTCCTTGAAGGGAAAGGTCAGGTGATGAATCACAGCACTTGAGATTAATGGAACGACAAGGAATGTTTTTTGGAACTGTAAATATAATACAGCTTTTTTATGGCTCTTTGAGGTTAAAGGATCTCTTAGGATTATGATAATTAAGAACTGAGACTCTTATACTACAATTCTGGAAAAATCAGAATAAGTAAATTTCTGGGTGGACCTCATATGCTGACAAGTTTCTCTAAGTATGGAGTGAATTCTTTACCATTGTTTCCTCCCAGTAAGGAGTATGATAAATTCTTATAAGCTTTGGCCAAACATTCCCTAAAAGTGATGATGACAACTTCAGATTTAGAAGAAAGACCGTGAAGTCTGGTTTTAAACCAATCTGCCATTGCATTCATGGAGGCCAAATTGTTTGTGATTTTGTCTAGAAAGTTGATTCAGAATTCTTTGGCAATGGAAGAGTTGCTAAATTACAAAAAAGTTATTTTAGGGGAATTGCTTTACTAGAGAGAAGCAAGTGCAGTTTTCTGTTTTCCTAGTACTATGAAAAATTCCTTTTACAGCTTTTGCACTTTAATTGTCTGGATTATGACAACTGTAGAAAGTACTATTACCAGTATTTGTAGAAATCAAAATCTGATTGCATGTTATATTCCAAAATGATCTGAGGGCTGCTCCAAAGGTAATGCCTCCTGTTTTATTATGTTCACTCATAATGTCAGAGTGGATGTTGGTATAGCAGTAGAGGTTGAACCTTTCCACCAGTATTCTGTTATATTTTGTTGCCATGTGGCAGATAGCAGCAGAGGGGCAGTCTGACAGAATGGAGTCTGACATGGAAGTGCAGATGAAGCAAAGATGTGTCTTTTTCCATGCAGAAAAAATAGTACCCATTCATAGAAATGAATAAAAAATAAGACAATAAAGGCACTTCATTTTACAGAATACTTATTTTGTAAGTTATGCATTTTGTATACCTTCCTTTTTCTTCTCTTGCTTTAATAATAAAATATGTTTTTTAGAGCTATTCGTGCAAATTCTGAGTTTTACTTATGAAGAACAGGTTCAAGATACTACATAACAAACTGTTTGGCAGCTGAGAAAAATTATGCTTTCCACAGTCTTTTTTCTGTCCACCTCAGGCAGACCTGAGGTGATTGTGAAGCAGTATTATGTGCACGTGAAAAGTGCATGTGGATTGGGAAGTTGCAAGTTCTGAACTTTGATCCACAGACCCCGGCAGGTTATAGTGGGTTGCCATAGGTGAGCAGTACAGTTGCTGTCTTCTCAGCTGTAAAATATGATTGCTTTGTCTGTGGATGTGTAGTCATTAATATCAGTATCTCTGATGAAAATGGTGTATGGTAGAAAGAACTAAGAATTAAAGCTGGAGTAATGCATTTCCTCTTTACTTTCTCCTACGTTTTCCTACTTTTGTCTGGAATGTAGTTTTTAAGATTAATTTTTTTCCATATTTCTGGATGCTGAATGTTTTCTTTTGATCTTTTCTTCAGGCTGGCAAATAAGCAGGACAGAGAAGGAGCTCTGTCAGAAGCAGATGTAATTGAGACCTTATCTCTGGAAAAGCTTGTCAATGAACACAAATGTCTGTGTCAGATTGTAAGTATGTTTTAAGATGCTTCATTTTCTTATGCATACGTGCTTGTAAGGAGTAGGGAATTATGCCATTTAGCATAACATTGAAATGAGAAGCCTGCAATCCCAGCAACAAGAATAACATTTATGCAAACCCTGAAGAAATTTACACCAGTTCTGTCTATTATCTTAGTTTTTCTCAGAGAAGCAAGGTTAATCCTCACAGAAACAAGATATTTCTGCCATATGTCTTCTCCTTGTTTAAATTCTGCTAGAGTGTAATTCATTCAAGATATAAGAGGTTAAAAATCAGTGGGTACTGCAAGTTACAGGGCATTAGTGTCATGCTTGTACTGAGCTCTGCAGCCTACATAATGCTTGCAAGGAGGTAGGGGATTATGCCATATAGCATAAAAATGAAACAAGATGCCTGCAATCCCAGCAAAGATACGGTATGTACATCTGTATTTATTTTTTATTTTTTTCAATCAATCCACTGTTCATCTTGACACTTGGCTTCTGAATTTGTTGAAGACATTGCTACAAAGGTTGTCACTTACTACTCCAGCTTGAAACCATATAAAAATAATGAATTAGTAATGTGGGTATATAGCAAGTTTAGTTTCCACCCTCTTGAAGAAGTAGAAAGTGAAATTTGCTTATGTTGACATTCAGGAAGGACCACTGTTCAGTTGTAATGTTTGTCTCTTTTCTGTCCATAGCTAAAACCTCATGTAGTCTGAGTTATCATCTGTGAAACAGTAAGAGTAAAGTAAATTAAGTATTTCTTCTAATTCCCAGCCCAGTAGACACAGTAAGATCTAGTTAATAGTTAATATCTGTCCTAAAATAATTACATTTTAGATGTAGTAGTCATGGTCATTTTTTAATCAACAAATCTTCTAATTCAAGTATTTGTGAGTTTTAAGTGTATGATCTTTTTGTAATTGCCACATAAATGTTTTAAGAATATTACAGATTATATAGAAACTATTGAACAATACTGGAAGATTATTTTGAATATACATTCCATCTGATATGTGGGTGTTAAAGTTAAAAGCATTTTTAATTCTGTAGGAAGAGTTTAAATATTCATTGAGTAGCACAGATATAATGTTATTTTGTAGGAAGCTGTATTATAGCATAGGTCCCCTACATTCATAGTCTCTTGACCCTTTGAAGGCTTTTCTTCATTCAGCAGACATTGCACTGAGTATACAGCAGCAGTCAAAAACATAAAAAGATCACAGTATTGTTCTTGAGGGATTTCTATGGTAATATTATTTTCTTACAAATCATTAGCAATAGAAAAAACTTGAAAGATTCTAATGCATGTTTCCAGTACTTTAGATTTACTTACTTTCCCATTCTCTGTTTTTATCTTGAAACTAGACTGTGTACTCTGAGTCATTTCAGCTGAAAGCAGCTGTGAGAATCTTGCAAACTTCTTTATGAAGTATGGATTATAGAATTGTAGAATGGTCTGGGTTGAAAAGGACCATAATGATCATCTGTTTTCAACCCCCAAGGAAAGGCTTTTACTAGGATCATTAAAGATAAACCTGGTCGCAAGCTCTTTCAGTATGATCATTCATGGGATAAATTTAAATATGGGATTATGAAACAAAAACAGATTTAAATAAAATGAGGCAGGAATCAAAAAAAACCTTTCTTTTAATATTCAGTCAGTTTTCTTTTGGATTTTTATATTTCTCTGCAAAAATATTAAAGCAATTTGAGTCATTTGTCTAGCAGTCATACAGTGTCAGTCAGAATGACCATCATCTTTTTTTAATATTTCTATGCTTTCTGTATCTCTAAATTTCTATATTTTATACTTGAACTACTACAGAAGTAACCTTTGTGCAAGCCTAGATGAAAATAGACTGGTCTATTAGCTTAGTTTCTTAGAGAGTCTACACGTCTTCTCCCTGATAAGGTTTTTCTAGAGAATGCCATGGTGTTCTGTAGTAAATAACACTCATATTTGAACCTTAGAATTGAGCCACATCTTTTTTGTTCCAATCAGAGCCAGTTATAGTTGTCTTCCTGATTACAAACACAAACAAAAAATTATTTTTTTCCTATTTGGAATTTTCTCTTCTTTTGAGGACTATTATCATAACTCCTGGATGCTTTATCATTTCAAGGAGAAGCTCACTCCTGTCCTTTCAACATGTTCCTACTAGATGTACTTATAATCAATATTTTTTAAATTATTTTTCGGTTCCTCTTATTTCCCTCTAGTCAACCACTCTTACTTCAAGTGTTGTATCGAGTATTCTAAAATAGTTTAGCAAAATTTAGCACCTGTTTTTCCAATAGATTTGTTTACTTGTGTCTCTTTGTTTATGAGAATATCATAACAAAAGTTTTATTTCAGTCAAAATGGATGTTTTACTTCATTCCTCTCCTGATCTGAGAAATTGAAGAGGTTTGAGTTTTTCTGACAAATTCAGATACAATTTTATTAATCTCCTAAATGCTTGTGAATAACTTGAACATTTATTTCACGAACTGAAGCTAAACTGCTTTCCTTGGATCTTATTTTTTTCCTCCATTTTACTAGATAAATATAATTTAGGCTATTATAATGCACCAGCAAGATAGAAAATACATATTTGAGTTTGATAAAATGCTTATATTCCTATGAAGATGCATAGATTGTCTGTTGAAATAGGAATATAAATAGATGTGTAAATGAATAATGGATATGTATATAACTGGTGTATATGTACGTTTATTTGGATATTGACATGCAAACATTTTTCTGTGCAGCAGGTAGTATTGCCAAAGTGAGACAGGAAATACAGGAATTTGGTAGACCTGATGTGATTTGTATCTTAACAAAAAAATACATCTACATTTACACAATAACTAAATGCAGATTTATTTCTCATACTTCTAAATGTTTTGCAAGCTTAAGATCAGCAGTATTGGTTTGGCTGGACCCATGTATTTGGTGAAGTAATCTGAACTGCAAATAATTAAATAATATCCCCCCCCCCCGGTTTTTTTTTCCTTCTTATATTTACAGGAACCTTGCTCAGCTGTCATGGGCTATGGGAAAAAAATTGATAAATCAATTAAAAAGGGTTTATATTGGCTTCTGCATATCATAGCAAAAGATTTCGATGCCTTAAATGAGCGCATCCAAAGAGATACTACAGAACAAAAGGCATATGAGGAACAAAAGAAACGAGAACGAGCTGAGCGAGTGAGAAGGATACGAGAAGAAAGGTTCATTTTCTGCTATTTCTCCTACCTCCCTTCCCTCCCTCTCTAGGATATTTGATTAATTCTTGTTCATAGAGCTTATGTGATGGATTTAAGGCTTCAAGTCAGGGCTTACGTGTTAGAAGTAAGGACCTGAATGCCAAACCTTTTCTTTAAGACCTACAAATTTTTGCCTGTTTCAGTCCCTTTTTTCATGCTGGAGTGAGAATTGCAAAGCCATTTGTGGAATAAATTTGGTCTTGCTGATAGAACTTCACAGGATGCTAACAATAAATATATGTATATATAATCATTTAATCTTAATATATCTTCAGGTGTGTCCTAAAATAACCTTTTACTAACTTAAATGACACTTTGTAACCCATATGTGAATTTACAAGATTAAACTTTGCTTGATGCTGTGCCTAATAAACTTTAGGATATCCAGCCCACAAGGCACGGAGTGGACTTAACATGATTTAGGGAAGTAGGGACTCATGATCTGGCAAACCTGATCTATCTGTAGGTGTCCTTGCAAAGGTCCCTTCCAACTCAAACGATCTGAGCATTTATTAGTTTTCTTCCAAGGTCTTTTGCAGTTGTCAGCAGCCTACCAGGGTTCCGATTAGAGACTGAGCATTTTACTGGGGAATTATCACAAAATGCTCTAAGTGCCCGTTTTCTCTCTGTCTGCCCAAAAAATGTAGAGACATGCAAGTCTGAGTTATTGTGAGAAGTAACTGTGAAGCTTCTGTGAAGTCTCTTGATTTGTGCCCTTACTTATTTGGTTTGATTTTCTCAACTTTTCTGACTCTCGCTGAAACAAATTATTTTCCCTAACTGTTACTATATGTACTGAGTAGTTTGTCAGCTGTTCTCCTTTCCATATGTTAATAGAATCTAGAACGATGAGAAACAAAATGTGCTAAATGCACGGCTGACTTGGTGCTCATTTTTGGGCAATATTAACCGTTTACTTGCTGTTCAGAATGTCACTTCTCACTTGTGATTTTCCTCTTAAAGAAATCCAAACCAATTTTTTTGGATTAATTTGGGTGAGCGATGGCTCGGTGTGTACCCTGATGTGGCTCTGGGCAGGCTGGTCTGGTGGCTGGCAATCCTGCATATAGCAGGGGGGTTGAAAGTAGATGATCACTGTGGTCTTTTTCAACCCAGGCCATTCTGTGATTCTGCGATTCTGTGAAATACAGAAGATGTTTTAGATAGTCTGGTTTCTCAGCATGTCAATTTTCTTGAATATTGAAGTGAAATAATAGTTGTGGAAGATTAACAATGCTGATATGTCATCATAATGCTGAACCATCAAAATCTTTGTTACAGAAGTATTGTCACATGTCTGATCCTTAGAAACTGCAGGCTTTCTGAAGTGCAACTTGAGCATTCTGGCACGTAACAACATGTGTTTTTACCTGTGCTATAACGTGTCTTTATGTTCTACTGATGTTAGCCTGTTACTATGATTTTTGTAGAATGTGTTTTCCAAAATAGAGAATGATGCTGTAAAAATCAGCTGGCGTATCCTGGAGGATGAGTTAGATGACCTAATAACTGGTCTCTATTTTGTAAAATTTATGACCTGGCTACTTGATAATTCTTTGTTCATCTTTCTCCTCTATCCACAAAACACACTATAACAACAACAAAATAATATCAACTAAAAAGGGAAAGAGAAGAAGGAAGAAGTGTACATGATGAGGAGGACCCTGAGCCTGGGAATTCTGAAAACCCTTTCCAGCCTATAGCTGCAGTAATCTCTGAGGTATGGGAATATGTGGAAATCTGGATCATTTTAGACCTTCTAACAAATGTCTGAGAGGTAATAAGAAAAGTGGTTTCTTTGAAAGAATTGCTCTAAGTCAGTACACACACCACATTTTTTTTTTTTTTTAATCTTGGCAGTCTTGTTTTCTGAGCAACAAATCAATGCTTTCTTGTTAAGAAAATTTCCTAGTATTGGTTTAAGGGGGAAAAAATTGAAGACGCAGTAAAATAATCACACTGTAAAAACTTGATTGAAAATATTTCCTGATTAAACTGTTGGACATTCAGGACTGGAAAATATTCCAAGTCTGCCAATTTCTTGTAAGGAGTTTTAGTGTTGTAGTTACTTAGATAGAATCTTCCTGCCTACTTCAACTTCTTAGATTTCTCAGCATAACCTGTTGTTTTCTATTGAAAATTAAGACTGGAAAAAAATTTGCTTAGGACTATTGTTCTTGTATATATATGTAGTGTCTTTTCTTCCTCATCTAACCAAAAAATAAAAACAATGCAAGAAAACAGGCTGTAACGCTTTGTCACTCATATGTAAGTGGATGTCAAGATATAAATGTGAAGATAATTTCTTTTGCTGTAAGTCCCTTGTCTTTTTTTTCTTCTTGTGCCACTCCAGGTAGCGTAATGGAGATGTTACCTTCTTCAGTTATTATCTGAAAAGTTTGCATGCTATATCTGAGACCAAAAAAAAAAAAAAAAAAAAAAAAGTACTTCAGGAAAATTTCCTTGTATCATTAGTTTACAGCATTAAAAGTTATAAAAACAAATTAAAATATTATCATTATTATTATTATTATTATTATTAGAATGAAAAACAAATTGAGAAGGAAAAGAAGCGGCAAAGGTTGGAGACTGAAAAGGCGACTGTTGTTTCAACATCTCAAACAGAACAGGAACAAGTGGATGCCCAGCAATTATCAATTAACGGTAGTCAAAATACAAATGGCACCAGACTAGAAACATGCAATTCTACTACTGCACAGCATTTGCAGCATGAAGAAAATGAGCAGCAAACCTCAGAAAGCCTTGACTCAGGTAACTCTGCTTCCTTCTAATGTCATTTTTCACACATTTCTTCCCTATGTCTGCATTACTTTTCAAGATGCTACATGTTAATTGAGTCTATTCAAAGCACACCATTCTGTTATTGAACTGAAAGATCTACTTTTAAAAAGTGTGTATTTGCTAGTTTGACTGATATTACTAGACGGAATGGCCTCAAGTTGTGCCAGGGGAAATTCAGGTTGGACGTTAGGAAATCCTTCTTCTCTGAGAGAATGGTCAGGCACTGGAACAGGCTGCCCAGGGAGGTGGTGGAGTCACAGTCCCTGAAGGTGTTCAAGAAATGTTTAAATGTTGTACTGAGGGATGTGTTTTAGTGGGAAATATTGGTGGCATGTGGATGGTTGAACTGGATAATCTTGGAGGTCCTTTCCAAACTTGGTGATTCTATGATTCTGTGATTACAGCTGAAACTGAGTCCTTTGTTATCATAATCTGTGATCCAGTTGCCATCGCTACCAAGCTAAGATGAATTTGTTTATTAAAATGTAGAGTTTGCATATATTTTATGCTTACAGTAACAAAGTGTGCTGTATACATTGCACATTTCACAAACTTTTGTTGTACTGTGCAAATCCAGACTGAAAATGCTCATGCGTCTCACCCCAGTGATCATATTAAAAGATGATTTAACATGTTCTCTGAATATAACCATGTAGTATGTAATTATATATTCATTTAATTATTTCTGTTCCGTATAGATAACAGTAAGAAGAAAAATAAAAAAACAAAATTAAAAAGAGGCCACAGAGTAGAACCCATTAATGGAGATGATGCAGTTCCCCCAAATCCTACACCACCAGCAGCTCTTCCACCAGGTAAATGTACTAATAAGCAATAACTGATGTCTCAATCTGTGGTTTTAAAACTTTTAAAATATTTATCTGTCAATGATGAAACTGATATGCACACAGAGATATACTGCCAAAACTTCTTTAAGAAATCTCTGATGTAGTTTCCCACTTCACAATCTGAAGTTTTAGCAGTATTGATTTCATTCATACCACGGGGAGAAGTTGTTGTTTTCACATGCACAGGAAAGGAGTCAGACTAATATCAGTGGGTAATCAAAATATCAGTGTTTTTAAGGGTAGATCATTTTATTTTAAAATTATTTAAGTGGAATTCATCAAATGTATAATACGTTTTTTTTTTTCCATTCCTAAATGCTTTGAATTCTCCAAAAAGAGACTGGTGTCCATAAATTTTCTCAGAATCAAGTAGAGATGTATTTTGACAGTTTTTGTTTTTCTTTAGTTGGATGGGGAACTCCTAAACTTAATAGACTTCGAAAACTCGAGCCTCTTGGTGAAACACATCATACTGGTAATTTAAATCATTTTGGGTTTTGAACTTTCTTAAAGCATTCTCCACTGTTTGTTTGCTTCTACAGTCATTTCATTCTTCTTTTTTTTTTTTTAATTTTCAATGTCAGTTTTCTGTGACCAAAAGCTAACCCTGTAATTTACTTGAAAGCATCTTTTTGGTTTTTCGAGTCTCATATCTTTTTTCCCTTTTTTTTTGACCAAAGATGTAAGTTCTTTCAGATCCCCTTGCAAAATTTAACATTGTATGGGATGTTAAAAGCTAGTTGTTATTTGTTCAAACAGAATGAACCTAAATATTATAAAAATGCATATTACAGACAGTACTAGGATAGTTACTTTAAGTGTGCAAACCAGGATATAAGTGGGCAAACCATACATTCTCAGTTTTAGATGAAAGTCTTCATTTTTCTTATGGTTTTTATTTTTCAGTTTTTCAAAAATCATGAAGACATTTGGAGTAGTATGAGAGGAGGATAAGCATACTAAAGCAATGGACACACTTGATCAAAGAAAACATTAATTCAGGAGTTTATAGAGAAAAGAGATCAGATTTAATCCTTGAATTAATCGTATCAAGTCATGGTTAAGGTCATGTAATACAGCACCATGTGGACATATCTGCCGAATTTCTGAAGCAACAGAATGTGCAGCTTCTCTGCCAAAGGATAACCAACACACAATTAATCAAAAGTTGCCTAAAGGGGAATTAAAATCTCTGAGACTGCACATTTATCTTCCAAAGGAACGTACATAAAATGTAGTCTTTAGTCTGCATTTCAGAAAATTTTAATCACAAAGCCATCTTTCTGCTTTTTTTTTTTTTTTTTTTTTTAAAGGAATGTAGAGAAAAGAAGGCAAGACAGAAAATCCAGATGGAGAGGTAGGGAGGGAAAGAAAGGGAAGGGGTGATAATTGTAGGTTTTTTTAATTTTTTTTTTAACTCAGTCTATGCCTAAGGGAGCTGTCACATTTTGTAGGAAAAGCATGGGTGGACAAGGAAGAAAAAAAAAATTAAGCTAGTTTCTCTACTCACAGTACTCACAGGTGTGTAAGATCAGTGACCTGAGACCTGTGCTTCTTTAGTTTATTTGTAAAATAGAAATAGTAATGAAAATATTTTGGGATCTAAAGATAGAAAACACATCGGTAAGGGAACAATCTAATGACCAGAGGTAACCACTGAGGTCAGAGGAAACTTAGAGCGCTCAGCACTTTGCAGATTAAAAATGTTGCCTGGGCTTCTGCCAGAGATTTGTTTTGTCAGAAGTTTTGTTAATAACAGAAACAGCATAGAGCAGTAACATGTATTTCTTGAGCTATTTCAGCTTTTTTTTTTTTTTTTCCCCACACAAATTATTTCCAACATGGTAAAAGCTAAAAGTTATTTTCAATAACCTGCTATGTATGAGTCAGTATGGACTCTGAATGGATACTCTTTTAATGAACACTGGAAAAATCTTCACTTTCTCTTTAACTGGATGCTAAAGAAAAACAAAAAAAAGCCTATGTCATTAGATTCTCTCTTTCTTCATCTTTTTTGAACATTGCCATTTTACTCTGAATAAGAATTTCATGCTAAAGGCCATTTTAATAGTGGACTTCACACCTATAAATACTGTTACTTTTTCAGCAACTGCTTTCTTCGGCTCAGGGGAGCAGAGTTCCTAGTGCTCATCACTACTGTTGATGACAGAGGTGTAGAAGGCATAAAACATATCTGCTTTATCTTTGTCACTTTTTATGAAGTGACCATCCCCATCACATAGTGAACCAGTGTTATCTTTGGTCCTTCTTTTGCTGTTAAAATATTTTTTAAAGCCCTCTTTGTTGTCCCTCACAGTACACTGGCCACACAATTTTCTCTCTAGAATGGATAACAACAATTTTTCCAGCCTCACTTCCAGTGGCCATATACCTTCTTGCTTAGACAAGCCAGCCTTCTTTCCTGCCTACATGACTTCCAACATATTGTAATTGCTTATTCCTGTGCTCTTAAGAAGTGATGCTTAAAAAATGTCCAGCACTGATGGACACCAAGGCCTTCAAATAGTTTACTAGGGGACCTTGCCAAGTAGTTCACTGAGCAGCCTGTACCCTGCTCTCCCCATATCCAGGATTGAAGGTTTAATGTCAATTTTCCTCCTATCATAAAAGATTTTAGATTCAACTACTTCATGGTTGCTATGGCCAAGATGGCCATCATTTGCCACTTCACCCATGGGACCCTCTCTGTTTGCAAGCAACAAAACTAGGAGAGGACTTTGCCGAATTGGCTCCCTTAGAACCAGTATCATGAAGTTACCAAGATATTTTAGGAATCTCCTGTACCTGTTTCTATCAGCTGTGTGGTATTCCCAGTGAACATCTGGCAAGTTGAAGTCACCCTTTAGGACGAGGGTGGATGATCTAGAGGTATCTCTTAGTTCCTTGAAGAACAATTCCTCAACATCATCATCCTGGCTGGGAGGCCTGTAGCAGAATTCCACACTGATAGTTGCTTTATTTCCTTCACCCTTCATCCTTACCCAGTTCATCCCATCCCTCACACACAGCCATCTCCTGCCTCATCTGCCGTCCTTGTCCCTGCTGAAGAGCCCAGAACTGTCCATTGTGATATACTGATCACACAACTCTTCCCACTATGCTCCACATCTGTTGATTATGTTGTAGTTCTGGGATTGAGCCAAGGCTCCTAGCTTGATTTCATGATAATTGATGGCAAGTGTCTTGAAGACGCAATTTGTGATGAAGGCTTATAGGTTTTTATTTTTTGTTTTTTTGTTTTTTTGTTTTTTTTAATTTCCTTCAGCTGAGACTTTGATAAGGCTTTATTTCTTTTGAGATTTTAAGTATTTAAGTTAAAGACTGCATTTAAAAGTTCAGTGACCTTTGTTTTTGCACAGAGATTTTTTTCAGGAGTACACTCAAAGTCCATGTCCAAGAGCGTATATAACTGAATCATTTGGTAGCTTTTCAATATACATCAAGAAACCAGCCCTCTTATGCTTCAAAACAAGGTTTTACATTGTTTGTTTCTGCTAGTCAATGAAAAGACACAGGAATAGATGTTTCCCAGAATTCGTGTATAATCAGGTGTAAGGTTTATGACTTCAGGATAGCAGTTATTTCTTTGCTTCTGTATTGTTACTGTTTTTTTTTAAGTGAGGCAGAGATGTAGAATCATAGAATCGCTCAGGTTGGAAAAGACCTTAAAGATCATCAAATCCAACCACAACCTAACCATACCACCCTAACTAATAACCCTCTGCTAAATCACGTCCCTGAGCACCACATCCAAACAGTTTTTAAATACATCCAGGGATGGTGACTCAATCACCTCCTGGGGAGCCTATGCCAGTGCTTAACAACACTTTCTGTAAAGAAAGGGTTTTTCCTGATACCCAACCTAAACTTACCCTGCTGCAGCTTGAGGCCGTTTCCCCTCGTCCTGTCACCTCTCACCAGTGAGAAGAGACCAATCCTGCTCTCACTGTAAGCACCTTTCAGGTATTGGAAGAGAGCAATAAGGTCTCCCCTCAGCCTCCTTTTCCCAAGACAAAACAGCCCCAGTTCCTTCAGTCTCTCCTCGTAGGGCACGTTCTCCAAGCCCTTCACAAGCCCTGTTGCCCTTCTCTGGACCTGCTCCAGCACCTCAATGTCCTTTCTGTACTGAGGTGCCCAAAACTGAACACAGTTCTAGTACTGGTATTGCTGCAGAAATACACAAAACTAGTGTAGTATGAGGTGAAAACAACAATGCAAAGGTTTTTAATGCGAGGTGTTATCAGAGATGTAAATCCATCTTAATAATTTAATGTGCAAACTGAAAAGTGTGTTCGTTATTGGGCTATGTAGGACATAGATTGTGTCATTTTGTGTCATTCTTAGCAGAGAACGTTGTGCTGGATGTTTAAGGCAAAGTTAACAAGCAGTATAGTAAACTATTTCAATCTTTAATTAGTTACTTCCACTAAGGACTGCAATTTTTCCTGTCATGGTAATGATTCTAGCACAACACTTGGTAGTATCTGTTTATTGGCACTAGAGAATGCATTTGCAGGAATGATGAACCTGTCTTACGGATAATAGGAGCTAAAATTGTCTGCCAGTCCTTAAGTTGTCTGCCAGACCTCGAAGAGCTGACAGTAATAAAACATCCATTGTGCAGGTTTTCATCTACCCTGCAATCATTTTTAGCAGTTCTGTTGCTTTTCAGATGTTGATGGAATACTGAGTTAGTTCCATTAAAGTCAAGGGATTCCAAGAGTACAGAAGTCTGCTTATGCATTTTGCTTATGCAGTGATAGCTAAAAGCTTGATCCTACACACATGTATACGTATTCTTAGATTCTTAGAGCAACGTGATACAACTTGTTTTTGTTAGCTTTAGCTCGGAAATGCAGTTTTAATTCAAGTTATTTCATGTTTAGAACAAGTGTAATACAGCTTTTATTGGAAAACTATGCTCTCTTAAAGTTGAATTTTGTGTTTGGTGGCGTGTTGTTAAATCTTCGCTGGGGAGGAAATTGTCCATGTAACTGAAGTTGAGATTTGAATAATTCAAAAAGCTACTTAGTTTCTCTTTTTGATACCTGCCTCCTCTTACCATCTTTTTTTTTTTCTTTTGTGAAACATTTTGTATGTACCTCTCTGCATGATTTGTGTCTTGTTTCTTTTGTATCACTAGCAAATATTTAAGGATGATGCTTATTCTCTTCTGGTGTACTTAATAGCTTTGAATGTACTTAATAGTTTTGAATGATTTTCCTCCTTTAAATTCCTTTATTGGCAACAGGTAATGTTACACCTATATCTAAAAATTCATAATATAGTTATAGAAAATTAGTATGCTTTTCAAGATAGACGCCATGCATAAAAGGAAACAAAATTTTGGGTGCTGCTTAGTGTTACTGTCACTTAAAACTTGATTGCAACGGCTGCACTGAATACACCAAAATTCAAATTTTTATACTTCATTTTCTCTGTTGCCAGTTCTATACTTTGCATGTTTCATGCTCTATATTTAGGATCATAGAATCATAGAATGGCCTGGGTTGAAAAGGACCACAATGATCATCCAGTTTCAACCCCCCTGCTATGTGCAGGGTCGCCAACCAGCAGACCAGGCTGCCCAGAGCCACATCCAGCCTGGCCTTGAATGCCTCCAGGGATGGGGCATCCACAGCCTCCTTGGGCAACCTGGTCCAGTGTGTCACCATGCTATCTGTGAAAAAATTCCTCCTAATATCTAACCTAAACCTTCCCTGTCTCAGTTTAAAACCATTCCCCTTTGTCCTATCACTATCCACCCTTATAAACAGTTGTTTACAGGATGTTTGTAGATTACTTCTGGACGTGATCTTCCAAGTGCTGATGCATGTTTAACAAAATGTAATTAAATGTGGTTTTTTTTGGACATTACACCAGCAGCTGTTAGCACTATGCCTGAAAGTTGCTTTGTAGGAATTAGCTCTAAACATGTCAGCTATGGAAACAACATTTGGCCTTATTTAAACAGTTTATTAAGCAAAGGAGATGGTAAACATCCATTTAATGTGTTTTTCTTCTCTGGCATTTTTTATACAGATTTCTATGGAAAACCTCTGCCACCATTAACTGTACGCCAAAGACCAAACAGTGATGCCCATGATGTCACTGCTTAACTGGATCCCAGATAACAATGAAAAAGCATTGTCAAGAAATTGTATTGTAAAATGGGTTTTGTCCATGAAGAAAAATTTTTAAAATGACAGTCTATGAGCTTCTTGCAAAGTAAAAATTTGGTAACAATTAAACACAGAGTTCATTCTGTTCTACTTTGTCATTTACTTTTCACATCACCAGCACTTCAGGGTGAAGAAAGCATGAAAGCAAGGAAGATCTGTGTTTTCATGGAAGCTCCTATGAACACAGTACGGAATACATGTTGGGTTTACTTGTGAAAATCCATAGCTATAAACCCGAAGAAAAATACCTTCAAGATGATAAAATATTGGATTGTATGTTCTCTTTGACACCTTTCACCAGGTGCTGTGCAGTGGTTGACATTTTTGCAGCTAATAAATGGTTCTAATGCATTTTTTTTATGTATGTTAGGGTGAATATAGGCAGGTTAAATAACAAATATCAAGTATATTTTTCTAACTTTTTATAAAACTATTTGAAAATATATGTGGATTTTCCTACCTACTATCAATAAAACAACACCCAGAAAGCATTAGAAAGCTGATACCTAAATACATGCAAGTAAAATGTGTTTGGCTTAACATTTTTCTTACAGTAGCAATATCTCTTATTAGGGATTACATTACCTTTATTACTTATTTCTGGCAATCTGAAGGGAGGTAGGTAGAAAGGGAACTTTAATATAAATACATTTTTTACAAAATTAAGCTATTTGAATCACCTGATTTTTTTCTTATACATTGTTTTAGTTTTGTTAACTGAGTTGGGTGTAGGTAATAAGTTCAGTTTGAAAAATAGAGCTGAATATTGTTTTGTCTGTTACGACATACAATCAAATTGCACACTGTGAAAGTTTTGCACTAATTCAGTCATCAGTTCTGATGAAAAACTGAATCATCCAATATGCGTTTAAGCTCCAGCACTTTTTAATCTCATTAACAGTAAAATGCCATGTTGAAAATAAAAGAATCTCCAGAATTTTAAGAAGTTATATAATGTCCCTGTGTAGTGTTTTAATTTTACATTTAAAAAGATCAAATACAAGGAATATGTAAAACAGGTTAGAAATGGTTATGTTACGTGGTTACTGACATGCTCTATATGCCGTCTTTCCTTTTACTTTCGACGCAACCATTGGTATATTATACAAAAGTATATAGCCGTGCCACTTAGTTACAAGGACAGAACCCTTATTCAGAGTCTTTTTAAGAAGTGCTCTTTGCTGATTTTCCATTCTGCTCTCAGTTTTCCATAAAGTGATATTATTTAATGATTGGAGAAGAAATTACATTAATGTGATGCATTCAGCACTTTGACGTTAGAAATCTTTGCTGCATACCCGCAGTGTCAATAAGTTACACAAATAAGTATACCGTATTGAAATGACACGATTAATTAAGATTTTAAGAGTATGTTTGAGTGGAGAAAAGAATCAGTCTTAAAAATATGAAGTTTAAATTGGGTAGAGAGGAGTATTCCAGGCTTGTAAATTTGGCAGACAGACAAAACAATTTGTATGTGGCTGTCAGAATGAGAACACTTTTCTTATATTCTAATAGTGTATTATGGTTCAGTTTGATGATTTGAGAGAGTTAGTCATTTTCACTTCAAACAAACATATTTACTGGAGGAAGGATTGAATATTTTTTTATAAGTACAATCCCAATCTTAACCAATTTTAATCTGTTACCACTTCATTATTTTGGCTTCATTATTTTGACTCCATTTTTGCTTCTTTTTTATTTATTTATTTTTTTTTTTTTACAGTTTCAGTTTCTAGAAATGCATTACCCTTTTATATTAACACTAATAAAAAATAAATTAATTGAAGTCTTTATTAAAAAAATAAAGCTAAATACTGCTGTGGAAACAAAATTTGAGAAACTAAAAGGTAAGATGTTGTTACTTATGTGTGGAATGTGTGCTAAGCGTCTTGTGCGTGTGGACAGGTGTATCAGTTTTGTTTCTGCTTTTAAAATAATCTGTACCAATAAATGACCAAAGTACTAAAAATGTTTCATACTGTTTTGTTTATGAAAATGTATTGACCACAGCAGCTTTTTATTTTTTTGTTACTTTGATTTTTTATTTGCTCAAGATTGCATTTATATCCACACTAAAACTAATTTACAGCATCAACATTTCCCACATTATCATAATTTTTATTTTTGAGGCAAAAATAGTCAAAAATATTTTATGTCTACAAGCCTCATTTGCATTGCTAGTATATAAAGCTCTAAATTTTAAAAGCAAATGTAGTTTGGAGATGTTTATCCTAAGATAGAAGAAATTCCCCCCTTCAGATAAACTGTTTCCTTACCCAGGATTGCTCTTGGCAACTGCTCTGTGGTAACAAGGCCTGCACTTCTTACAAAACTTAGGGAAATAGGCTATGGAAAGGTTGATGTTCTGTCTGTACGCCTCACTGAATATTAATTTAACATAACTTCAAGTTATTTTCCTCTTGGGCTACTGGAATGACCAAGGTTGAGGGAAGTGCAGAGTGAGAACAGTAAGGTGTGCTTCCCTCATCCCACAACTTCCTCCTTCATCCTGGACTTCGCACATTAAGCCTTTCTCAGGCACATAAATAGCACAGTACTAATTACACTCCATGACTGTAGGGCAGGTATTGAGCATGGTACTGATCACACTTAATGCCTCACTAAGACAGGCTTGTGGTCTGTGTTATTGGCAAAGTACAATTCAACTGTATGTATTTTCTTGCGTATGTTAGTAATAGGACTTGGCAGATCTACAGCTGCAGAGAACTGTACTTTTAGACCAGCTTTATTTCATATCTGGTGGTACAACTCATCTATTAAAAACCTTTCTGGTTTCCTTTCAATTGAGTATGCAGGAGCACTCTGTTTCACCCACTGGCTCCTCAGGATATTGATTGAAACACTTTAAACTAGCTTTGAAGTTTGACGATCATTTGCATGAGGTGAGCATGAATGTTCCTAGTCTTCATTAGTCAGTGCCTGAAACTCAAATATTTATTTGGCGCTCTTGCCTTTACCTTTGCACCCCTTTCCATTCTGGTTTTTAGAGGCCAGTGTAAGTGCAGAGGAGCTGCACAAGCAGTCATTAACAAAGAGCCCTGCTAGGGGAATTTGCCGTTTCCAAATTGCTCTTACTGAAGAAGTCAGTGTACTGGTTTAAGTGGGCCACAGCAACAACAGCAAAAGCAGGCTAAAAGAACTAACTGATGTCCTTCCTCACACAAGGAGCCTGCAGGTCTCCATGGTCTTGTATCAGCAAACTGAGCCTCTGGAGCATGTCTAGAGATGGGAAACAGAGCTGTGAAGGGTGTGTAGCACAGCTCTTATGGGGTGCAGCTGAGGGAACTGGGATTGTTCGTCTGGAAAAGAGGAGGCTCAGGGGAGATCTTACCACTCTCTAAGCCTGAAAGGAGGCTGTGGTGAGGTGAGGTAGGCCTCTTCTCCCCGGTAACAGTGATAGGATGAGAGGGGATGGCCTTAAGTTGCACCAGAGGAGGTTCAGGTTGGATGCTAGGAAGTATTTCTTCTCAGAAAATGTGGCAATGCATTGGCACAGGCTGCCCAGGGAGATGGTGGAGTCCCCATCCCTAGAGGTGTTGAAGAACCATGTGGTTGCGGCACTGAGGAACGTGGCTAGTGGGCAGTACTGCTGGTGATGGCTGGTGGTTGGACTAGATGATCTTAGTAGTCTTTACAACCTCTTATTCTGTCTCTAGAGTTTTACGGGGAGATGCTGAGCAATGGAACGGTAGTTCCAATGTCTCTTTAAAAAAAAAAAAAAAAGAAAAAGAAAGAAAGAAGAAAAAAACCCGCTTCCAGCACGCAGCCAGCTGACCGGTAGAGAGCAGTGCAGTGCTCCAGCTGGGAGGAGTAGCCTTCGGACGCCCCGCCCCACAGCCGGCCATGAGGCTGCCTCATGCGGCAGCCCGCCTGCTGCCGCCGCTCCCCACCCGGGTCGCTCTGCTCCGGCGACGCGGGGCCGCCCAGACGCCCGAGCAGGTGAGGCACCGCGCTCGGCGGCACGGGGCCGGAAGCGGGCGGGAAGGAACGACCAGCCCCTTCCTGCGCCGCCCGGCGGGGGGGTGGTGCTGTGTTCGGGGTTGCGTGCTTAAGGTGAGCCGTGAAAGGCTCTAAGGGAAGTGGAGAAATGATGGTCCTAGCTTGGAGGGGGGTGGTGTGGCACGGCCCCAAGGAGGAAAGCCCGGCAAAGTTCTGTGTCCGCTTAGTGAATAATACAGCTTTGTTCAGAAACCAGAAGCTCTTTCTTCTTTCTTGTGAAGTGAAACATATGTCTTCTTGTTTTGTTTTGGTTTTTTTTTTTTTTTGTAGGCTGAGAATCAAAATCATGGCTGAATTCTAGCTAATTAGAGAGCTGTAAGAAAGAGGGGGACAGACCCTTCAGCAGGTTCTGCTGTGATAGGGCAAAGGGAAATGGTTTCAAACTAAGAGGCAAAACTTAGGTTGGATATAAGGCCAAAGTGTTTTACAGTAAGGGTGGTGAGGCACTCCAGCAGGTTGCCCAGGGAGGTGATGGATGGCCTGTCCCTGGGCACAATCAAGGTCAGGCTGGACAGGGCTCTGAGCACCTGATGGAGCTGTAGGGGTTTCTGTTCATTGCAGGGGGTTGGCCTAAGTGGCCTTTAAGAGTCACTTCCAACTCAAGAAATTCCATGGCTCAAATTATTATTCTTGGAATAACTTCATTGTTGCAGTGCTTTATGGCTCCAGAGAACTTGTACAATGATTTCAATGGATTTTACTTAAGTGTGTAGGTAAGCCTTGGCAGAAGTGATTGCCAAGTTCCAGGTTCTAGGAAGCAGTCTTTTCAGAGAATCACAGGATGGCCTGGGTTGGAAGGGACCCAAAAATCATGAATCTCCAACCCCCCTGCTACAGGCAGGGCTGCCAACTTCCCCATTTATTACTAGACTGGACTGCTCAGGGCTCCATCCAACCTGGCCTTGAGCACCTCCAGGGACGAGGCATCCACAACCTCTCTGGGCAGCCTGTTCCAGCACCTCACCACTCACAGTAAAGAACTTCCCCTGACATTCAACCTAAATCTTCCCTCCTTCAACTTTAAAATCATTTCCCCTTGTCCTGCTGTTATCTACCCTTTCAAATAGTTGCTTCTCCTCCTGTTTGTAGGCTTCCTTTAGGTACTTCCTTTAGGCTGCAATGAGGTCACCCCACAGCCTTCTTTTCTCCAGGCTGAACAAGCACAGCTCCCTCAGTCTGTCTTTGAAGGGAGGGTGCTCCAGTCCCCTGATTATCTTTGTGGCCCTCCTCTGGACTCTCTCCAACAGCTCTCTCTCTTTCTTGTACTGGGGGCTCCAGACCTGGAAACAGTACTTCAGATGGGGCCTCACAAGAGCAGAGTAGAGAGGGACAGTCTCTTCCCTGTCCCTGCTGGTCACCCCTCTTCTGATGGAGTCCAGGATACTATTTGCTTTCCAAGCTGCAAGGGCAGACTGCTGGCTCATGTTAAGCTTTTCATCCATCAGAATCCTCAGGTCCTTCTCTCAAGGACCGCTCCTTCTAGTCTGTATAAATGCCTAGGATTCCTCCGGCTCAAGTGCAAAATCTTGCTCTTTGCTGATGAGCCTTGCTAGGTTCACCCGGGCCCACCTTTCCAGCCTATCGAGGTCCCTCTGAATGGCAACCCTTCTTTCCATCTGTGTCATCCGCACCGCTCAGCTTGGTGTCATCAGCAAACTTGCTGAGGTTGCACTCGATTCCGTCATTGATGTCACTGATAAAGATGTTAAGGAGCACTGGTCCCAAGACAGACCGCTGGGGGATGCCGCTCATTACCAGCCTCCACCTAGACATAAAGCCATTGATGACAACCCTCTGTCTGCGGCCTTTCAACCAGTTTCTTATCTATCGAGTGGTCCACCCATCAAATCCACATTCCTCCAATTTGGAGATAAGGACCTGGTGGGGGACCATGTCAAAGGCCGTGCTTAAGTCCAGGTAAATGACATCGGTCGCTTTTCCTTTGTCCACCGATGCCATCACTCCATCATAGAATGCCACCAGATTGGTTAAGCATGATGCTCCACTGGTGAAGCCATGCTGGCTGTCTCTGATCACACACTCATTCCTCATGTGATCAAACATGTCATCCAGGATGATCTGTTCCATGATCTTCCCAGGTACAGAGGTGAGACTCACCGGTCTGTCCCCGGGGTCCTCCTTGCTCCCTTTGTTGTAAATGGGAGTGACGTGACCCTTCCTCCAGTCATCCAGGACCTCACCTGACAGCCACGACTTTTCAAATATGGTGGAGAGTGGCTCGGCAACCACCTCAGCCAGCTCCTTCAGAACCTAGGGATGCACGCCATCTGGCCCCATAGACTTGTACACATTCAGTCTCATGACTTGCTCTGTCCTCACAGTGGATTTACTGCCCTGGTCACCACCTAGAGGTTTAGGGACACAGGGCTCGGGGATGTGAGAAATACTGGAATCCTGGCCGCCAGTGAAGACTGAGGCAAAGAACTCATTCAGTACCTCAGCCTTCTCTCTTCGTCCGTTGAAGCCAGTTTTCCTTTTACATTTACCAAATGAGGTACACTCATTTTGGTCTGTCTCTTCTGGACAGTGTACCTGTACAACGTCTTCCTATTGTTTTTCACATAGCAATAGGAAGACATTCTTTTCAGTCATGCTCTGCTTTTTTCGCTCCTGATATCACACAGCCACAGGACCCACTACATTATCCTAGTGTGGATGTTGAGGGAATATGTTTGTCAGGCTTTGATTGCCCTCGTTAACAGGTGAGGAAGGAGAGAGGACCTAGCTTAGTTCTTCAGTTTGTTACATTTTAATATGCGTGGCATACGACCTCGATATCTTGATTATCACTGATACTAATTGATTTAATGTGAAAAAAATATTGTAATAGTTTTTAATAGTTGTTTTTCGTTTTTTGCCCTTTTAACTCCTTTCTCTGAAGCTGGAAAATAAAACCAAAGGGAAGCTCCAAAAGCAAATCTGTCAAGTTGTTCTGGACCACTTCGAGAAGCAGTACTCGACAGAGCTGGGAGATGCATGGAGCAGCATCAGGTCTGTTGTTTGAGGCAGACTGGGGTAGGGGAATGGGAGAGGTTCTGATAGTTTATAAAGCACTTAAAAGTTAACTTCCAAAAGAGTTTTGCATAGATTGTAGCAATTGTTCCACTTTATTTGTCATTTAGAACTGTAATAAAAACGAAGTAACAGAAGGTTAGATATTGGAATTATTACGTTTTTCCCTGACATTGATTTTTTGATGTGGTGATTAAGTTTCTGTTCACCTGTGTGTGTGTGTGTGTGCACTGCCAGAATACTACTGTCTTGCATGCTCTGTTAGCTGTTCTATAGAACAGTTAAAAAAGTAACCCTTTTTACTTCGCAGCTGCTATTAGTATTTTTCTACAGCTTCATAGTTGAGATGTTAGAAGAAATTGAGAACTGGCTGTGTATCTGTACAGAGAAGTGTGTCGCTTAACTTGGGCCTTAATCACACAGCAGCTGGAAAACTGGAATTCAGAGAGGACACCTTGCCTTCCCTGCTAGATGGCAGTTCCTCATAAAAAAAGCCATAGAAGAGCACTTCTGGAGGAGTTTATTGCTTAGCTTGTGTATAAGGAATGTGAACAAAAGCAGTTAGCTTCAAGATGAATGGTCATGTGAGCTTTGCCACATTATTTGAGTGGAAAAGTTTCTTTTATATTCTTAGTAACCATGTTACTACTCGGAATGACCTCTTGAAAATATGTATGTGTAAATAAAAGCATGAAAGTGCAGCATTAGTTGAACTGAATCAACCTAAAAACTCTTTAGGCTGGATCAATTTATGTTCTGCTTTTAGTCAATGAATATTGCAGATAGGAATTCAAATGGAAAATGGGAAATCTTTGAAGAAAAGCCTGAAAAAATCAAATTGAAATAAGAACAGTTGCATTCCTGTATTTAAGCACTGCTTTTCTATTATCTTCAAGGAATGTCTCCTCACCTAGGGTTTTTTTTTTTTTTTTTTTTTTTTTTTTTTTTTTTTTCCTGAAGCAGCAACTGTAGAACGTACATAGAAATTCAGCAAAGGACACTTGTAAAAATTGCATTTTACAAATGCTTGTATACAGCATTGGCTGGAATGACCACTGCAAAGCCGATGGGATTGCTTTTGCTGTGATTTCTGATAAATAACATTACAGTTGCTATTTGCCCCTAGAGAAGTAAAAAAGTTGTGTTTCATATGTTATAACTTCCACAGTCGTTTGTTAAAGAATTTGGAAAAATTGAGAATACCTTACTTAGAAGAAGTTAGTGTTTTAATGCAATAACTAAGGAAAATGATGGCTTGATTTCCTGTTGAAGTTCTTTTCCTGCATGTTTTTCACAACTGTATCTAATCAGGATGATTCCTTTTTGTTTGCAGAAGAATCATCTGGTTATCCATATGTAAGAAGAGGCATCTTGTGTGGTGGGAAGTTCATCTTACTTGTCAAGTTATTAAATAGATTTTCCTTTTTCCAACCTAGAGAGGTACTCACATACCCATCGTACTGGCAGCACGCCGTCCTGCTCAACAAATTCAGCCACACTGCTGACCTGGAGGACAACTTGAATGCACAGGGATATCATCCTGCCTTCAGAGGAACTTTGCCCTATCTTCCAAGATCACTGAAGTGTTATGTCAGTAGAACTCCTAGGAGGTTCCCTTCACAAAAACACCAGACTGGTAAACTGAAAGAATATTATCTACTCAACGCTGCTTCTGTGTTACCAGTGCTGGCTTTAGAGGTGAAGGATGGGGAAGATGTTTTGGATCTCTGTGCTGCGCCAGGGGGTAAATCGGTAGTGATCCTACAGTGTGCCCGTCCAGGTACTGTATCAAGAAGCTGATTTGCATCTGGGCTATTTGAGTTGTGTATGTGTTTCCATATGAGAGTTGGAAATGGGGTGGAGGGTATTTAATAAAAGTGTTTAGTTCGGTGCTGCTTGCTAACATTCTTTTGAATTCTATTTACCTAAAACTGATAAAAATGGCAGAAGTTATTTAAATATAGGTTACTGCATACTGGCAGACAGATGCAGAGTAGCTTCGTTTTTCTTTTTTTTTCCTACTAATTTCTTTATATTACTTCTAAGAATTGAATTTTACTTCAAGTCCTTTGTAGATTTGTTGACCCATGAAGTTAAGTAATTTACAACTCTAGAATGTTTGTACTTTTTTCCCTCCTGCTTCCATTCTGGACAGTGCTATGCAAATAGCGTAAGTAAATAAATGAACCAGTGTAAAATAGAATATAGATTAAATGCTAGATCTAGGCAGGGGAAGAAAGCTTATGGCAAGAAACTGGTCTATACCAGTATTTAATAAGTTCCAGTCTTGATTTACCTACATGTTGCAGAAGAGAGCTCTGAGATAACCCTAACGTGTTAGAAAGCTGCTGCTTGGTGTTGCCCAGTTTTGCTAGGCTGGGGGTCAACTAAGCCTTGGTTGCTGTTTCCAAGTTTGTCCGTTAGTTTGGGTAATCGTCTCAAAATGTTTGCAGCAACTTAGGTTCTTACAGATGAGAATGTTAATTAGAACCACCTGTCTCACTGATTACAGCTGGTTCTCATTCTCTCTCACTTAGAGGAATCCTGCTGATGAGCTAAATGAAGTGTGGGTTACCCTTTCAAAAATTTGCTAAGGGGGAATGTTTGTTGATTTTTTTTACCTCTCCTTCTAAAGGTATCAGTTTGTTGCTGAGAAAGTAGGGTTCAAGGAAAGTTGACTGTGGCTCTATCTGAATGGCTGGATGCTGACATGTATTCTCCTGTCTATAGCAGACATAGAATTTAGGATGAACTACAGATGGGTGTCCAGAGTTGGGAAAGGAAAAACTTTAATAAAATAGCGACAGGAAGTAAGAGAAAATGTATTGTTGTGCTTGATAATACAAGTGACTTTTCTTCAAAAGCTCTGACTGCTCTGACACGTTGCAGCGTGGGGTGCAGTCAGCTGAGCTTTCATTCAGTTAAAAGGCAGTTAACTTATAAAAGATACATACTTGGTTATCTAAGCACAATGGCAGAAGGAGCCTAGAATAATCTTCAGATAGCACATTGGATGTGACTTATGTTTAAAGTTTGTTTTACTGTGGAAGTCTATTGCTAACTTAAGTATTTTATTTTTTTCCTAGTAAATATTCATGGATTGCTTTATAGGAACGTGTTGAAATCTGTGAGGGTTTATAAAAAACAAGCAGTGCTATAAAATGTGTGATAACATAAGCACATAGTTTGCTCAGTGGCTTTCACAGAAAGTATCTGTAGAATTTCTGAGAACTGTGTACCTTTTTTTTTTAAAGAACATTTACTTTCTTTTCATTATTTTAAGGTCAGTTTCACTGTAATGAGTATGATGAGTTGAGATCAAGATGGTTGAAACAGACAATGGAATCCTTCATCCCAGATCCTCTGTTTAACTTAATAACTGTCTCTAACCTAGATGGTAGACAGATTGGAGAACTTAAGCCTGAGTTCTATGACAAGGTAACATTCCACTACTTTTCGTATGCTGCTCCCTTTGTTTTCTTATTTTGTTGGGTTCAGAAGAACATTCGCACAATGTTGTAGCTTTGTTATATAAACATCCGCAGAGCCTCAGAAATCATTTGATGAACCTTACTGCATGTTTGTTCATGTGCTAGATGATGTTATCCAGTTAGTCTTGACAAGGAACCTTGATAACGAAGAGCTTGTGGCGTCAGGTGTGTAGTGGAAATGCAAAGTCAGGCTTGAGCCAGTGATTGAGCACCTGGTGGGTAGGCAGGGCCAACCCAGGGGAGCTCAGTTGCAAGCAAAGCACTTGAGCGATTAGAAGAGATGGAACCAGCACCCACCCCTTCCCAGACCTCATTTAAGGGTTGAAGGTGGAGATGGGGGTATCTTTTGCTAGAGATCACTGTCTACCTGAGGCCTTCTGAAGATAAGTACATTCTTTCATTTGTTTCTTTGCCTTCTGCTGTCGTGTTTGAGCAGATCCTCACTCACTGCAGCTTGGGGTCTTGCTACTCTGCCATTGTTGCACCTTCCATCGTGTTACCGTGAGGAACAAGAAAGATCCATCCAGGTAGAGGGTAGTTTTGGAGCAGCACCTTCTTATGTTTTGTTTTCTCTTCCTACCTGGTGATTCCTTAAGAATGCCACATCTCAGCACAGTAGTTAGATTGTTCCCACACCCAAGATGGAAAGTAAAATATGGTCTTCTCAGTGCTTGCAAAAGTACTTTGATAGACAGTTCTCAGAAAGTGAATATCTGCATTGTGAATTGTCTTATTTGCTCTTTTTTGTATAGATACTGGTTGATGCTCCTTGTTCAAATGACAGAAGTTGGTTATTCTCTTCTGATATTCAGCAAGCTACACTTAGGTTACTACAAAGGAATGAGTTACCTGTTCTGCAGTTCCAGCTGCTAAGGTGAGAACTGTGAAGAGGAGCTGTTGAAGGAGCTTTTGTAGTTAATGAAAATTATATGAGGTCAAGATGTGTCATGTTTAGAATCCAAACCTAAGTTTCACTGCATGAGGGAAAAAAAACCGTAGGAGTATGTTGTTGCAATTATTGTTTAGATGAAAAAATTAATTTGAATATGGAAATTTGCATGGTGTAACGTAAGTGGTGAGATCTGGGTCCTTTGCTGTGCTGCTTCTGCATGGTGCTCTTGAACTAACTTGTATCTGTCTATTTTCAGATGATTCAGATCAGTCTGGTATATCTTTAGTGAATAAAGCTAAATTGATTTCATAAATGTTCCTTATCTGAAGTGAAAAAACTTGCACAGTATTCCTGGTTTGCTTCTTTGTCTTAAACTGTGAGAGTAGTCTTGTGTGTGTGTGTGTGTGTGTGTGTGTGTGTGTGTACCCCTTTGATTACTGTTAGCCCAAAAATACAACTTAGCATAACTAATTGGGTAAAAGAAAAAAAAAAAAAAAAGTAAAAGAATGCTGGTTTATGGGGGCACCAGGCTGGGGGAGGCTATCTGTTTTTCAGGAGCTTCCACCTTGTAGCTTAAATCAAAGTTGTCATGTATTACATTTTTTTAATAATACCAGAAATAGGCTGGCTAGCATTTGTGAAACCTTTGAAACTCATTTTTCTCCAATGAGGAAAAACTGTCCTGTGACTTCTCGGTAATTCCTTCTAGTCTTCAGTGTTTTTAACTAAGAAACAACCATGCCTGAAGTCTATCTGTCAAAGCAACTTGAGGGGAAATACAACATATTACAAAAAAAAAAAAGTAGTCGTTACGGAAAGTTCCCTTTGCAGCATTTCCAGGTAGTCTTGCACAAGTTCTGGCTGAAAAAGACCTATCAGAAGCCTGTGATTTATAGCAGAAATATGAGTATCTTATTGCAGTAATGCATCATGTCATCTATTTCCTTTGAAGAAATCGATCATATTTAAAACACTGACCTATTTCAGTTTTTTTCTTTTCAATATTTGACATACAAAATCCAATTTGTGATTCCCAACCAAAAGAAAACATATCATGCAGTGAAATTTGGAGAATTTGCATAAATCATTGGAATTTGTAATGCTGAAGTGAAGGACTTGTGACGACAGGAACTTTTTTTTAGGAACAAAACGAAGCAGAAATACACACCTGTTACCCCCAAATAGGGTTTAATTGAATTATTCCTAAATTGAGGAAAGAATTTTGTCTGTTGAGAGCATACTTCACAGTAGCAACAAGAATAAGCTTTGTAAGGACTAGAACAGTTTTGATATGGGGTTTAAAATCATTTTACTTTGACTTACATTTTATCATTCAGATATATCTGAGCAGTTCTGTAGATTGAATAGGATTGTTATGCACACTGGATATTATTTTTCTCCTCTAAAAGATTTTGGGGCACAATAATTAAATGGTGAGTTTCATGATGTAAAGATTGCACACTTAATCTAATAATGTACTTGGAAGCATTGTATGTGTCTGCTGGATTTTTATTGCTCCTTTTGATTATTTTAGAAAGGATTTCCAATATTAATGGCATATCAGATTGTACGTGAAAGGAGAAAAAGGAAATTATAAAATGAGAGCAGGAAAGGCTAAATGATTCATGCAAGTGCATTAGAATTTTTGCAAAACTAAGATTTAGAATATTACCTACTTGAGCCTTTGTTTTATAGCCAGGGTACGTAATTATAAATTAAAAACTCAGTTTGAATTCAGTCTCTGATACTTTCTGGTAGTAGATACCTTCCAGTAATATCCAGGAAGGCTGAACGTACGCTAAATCACTTTCTTCGAGTCAGCTCACACAGCGCTGGCTCTGGGTTACTTATTCAGGCTGCCTTGTGCTTTATGTTCATGGGTATCTCTCAACTCAGTTGCTCTATCTGTAAAACAAAAATAAATATAAAGCTAGGTGTCAGCAGTTTTGTTGAAAGTAGTGGAAGAAATGGTGTGATTTGAAGATAAAATATAAAAGCCAGCTGTGACTTCAGAATAGCAATAATTTTGTTGTATCAGGAAGACAGCAAAAGAGGTTACCTGCAAATGAGAATTATAAAATGCGGAAGGGAGTGCAATCTTTGTTTATTTTGAGTGGCATTCAGCACATAATTTGTGATTTCTACTTTCCTTTTATTTATGGTGATGCCTCACCTGTAATCCTGTTCTGAATTTTGTCATCCTGTTTTGGGGTTTTGGCTAAAGCAAATCATTCTTTGCAGGAGGGGGAACTGGGGACGTCAGTGAGGAAGAAAAAGTTTTTGTAATACATTGTACAAAGTGCTTGAAGGCTTCAGGGAGTAAAAAATCTTTTTTTTTTTAAAAAAAAAAAAAAAAAAAAAAATAAAGTTGAAACTGATGTGATGTTCTTCCTCCACCAGTCTGAACAAAATCTATGTAAATGAAATGTACAATGAAATGTAAATGAATAGCGTAGATGTTGAACAGCAAATTTTATAAGCAACAAGGGCATCACTGATTGGAAGGAAATTGAGACTATAGTGATTGTTAATATCAAAACCAAAGCATCCCTGCAGAGTGCTATAATCCAAGAACATGCTGCAAATCTTGTTATTATTTGGAGTGTTCATGCAGAAAACAAATTGCAAAGTAAGGAATGTTCATTTCCTGATAGTGAATGCTAGCGTGAAAGGCAGTGGTTCCCACAAATGAATTTACCAATCTTATCAGTTCTCAGATGAAAATTAAACTGGGGGGTTAAGGTCGAGTGCATAATAACTTGATGGTGAAACTGTTACAGATGTTGTAATTATTTCTGAATCACTTATTGCAGCTGAAATAAACTGTTAGGATTCAGCTGAAAATAAATCCAAACAGGATGCACTTCAGAAAATGCAGCAAAGGCATTCAGACTACTTTAATTCTGTACACAACATCTTGCAGGAGTTAAACAGCTGTAATTGGTGTCTCATACAGTTCTGGTCCAGAGGAACTCAAACTGACTTTAAAAGATGTAGCTGACTTTTTTTCACCTAGTTTTCTCTGAAAGTAGTTAATAACTACAAGAGGATGTGTTAGTTTTGAGCGTGCAAGGCAAGCATGCACAAAGCTAAAAGGTTTGAGAGAATTTTGAGCATATGAGGTTTGAAGAGACATGACTATTCCGTTCTTCTGATTACTGGTGGCAAAGTCAGTAATACAAAATACTTGTTTTGCTAGTTGATCTTTTGGGTTGTATGGGTTCTTGTTTTTCAGAATTCAAAATGAAGCATTGTATCTAGATTAAGGAGTCAGAAAAAGACTTTATTGCCCTTGGTTAATGAAATGCTTCCATCAAGACAGTGAGCATGTCCCAGCATCACCATGGTTTGTTAAAGCATGTCAGCAACTCGCTGCAATCAAACAAGGAACTTTTTTTCCTGACTGCTTGATAACTATCCACGAGAACAGCCCCTAAACACTCCACATACCTTTTAGCAGAAAGTCCAATGTCTTGTCTTCCCTCTTGAGCACCAGAGTCAATGTGCATGGCACGCTTCAGTCACCTGTAAAATAAGGTTGACATTTTCCCTTAAGTCATCAGTAGAATTGGTAGCCTAAGTCTCTAAAGGCTAACCTGCTTACCAGCAGACCAGCATTATTTTCTGAAGCCCAGTCTTTTGAAAATTAAGTGAATAATAAAGCTTCTCATGAAAGCTTAGGATGCAAACAATTGAAGTTACAAGCTGTTCTCTGTAATTAAATCTGCGACATAGATTCATAGAATAAATGTGCTCGTAGAATTTCATCATAGATTTTTTTTTATTAAAAGAATTGGAAAAAAAAAGTGTATTCAATATTCTGAATTACTGAAAAAATACAGCAACTCCACTATTAATCCTTTGATTTTGGATGTGTCTTCTGCGTTTTCACTGAAGAGTTTTCCACATGTACTTCAGTGAAGAATTACAATGTTTCTTTTACCCTTTTTTGATGTATGTGTGCTGCAAATTGCTTATTTTGTTGTAAAATGAAGGCAAATTCTGGTTTATTTATTTATTTTAAGTAGGTAGTATGCAATCATATGACTGAGGTATCAGGGTATGGATACCACCATACTATGGTTGGTTGTTTTGTTTTTTTTTGTTAAGACGAGAGCCTTTATGACGTGGACATATAATGATATATGGCAGCCTTGACTGAGAGTACTAGACTCCTACATCAGAGCTCTTTGGGTTAGTTATGTAACATTTTCAAATGATCTGAGGAAATGCTTAACTGAGGTGTCAGTGATGCAGTGGTGAATTGAGAGAGGAAATGAATGCTGTGTTCTGTGGAGAATGGAAGAGAAGACATGTAGGAAAGTGAGGGGTATGTACATGTCTGTACTGTTTTTTGGCTTGTCCCCTGGAGTTTTTCCTATTCCTCCTTATGTACTCCTTGTTTTCTGTAATCATCTACTTACCTCCACTGAGAATCTGTTAGAATTGTAACTATTGTTCTGGCAGATTCTGTAGGTGGTTCTTCCCTTAACCGCTTTCCGTCTCTGAAAAATTGAGTAATTTATGTAGAGTGATTGCCCAAGGCTTCGTATCAGGTGTGCTCTTCAGGGCATTTCACTGAGCAAAACCAGGCTCCTTTTCTGTACCGTCTTGTCCCTTCGGTTGAAAGTCTTTTGGTAGCTGTTGGCTGGACAGTGAGCTTTTACATTTTGTTCTAATTACGCATATGTCAGTATTTATTCCATGCTATTCCTCAAGAGACTGTTGGTTACACTGCTAGAAGTACAAGTCAGTCTTATTCCTTTCTGTTGAGGCTGCCATGAGACAAAAGTAGGGATGTGTCAGCAAGAGGGAGCGCAATGTTTGAGCTTAGGGAAGGTGGGAGCAGTCAGTCCCTGGAAAACCAGACCAGAATCTGTTTTATATAAATAGCTGTTAACTAAAACACTTAATGTTTGAAAATTGAGTATTAGTAAGTGTCTGAATGAGTGTGAGAGACATACTGCATCTTTGTTCGTATT